GGAATTTAGAAAAACAACAATTTTGAATCACAATTTCATTCATATCTCTTATAAAATCAGTATTTTAGAGTACTTTGAAAACAGGTACAATAAAAGGAAGTTGAACATTCACTGTTTTAAACAAGAAAGATCAAGACACTCAGTCAAAACCAGCTAAAAATTGACATGACTGGTGGTCACTAAAATTGATGTATTACAGTAACAAATGATGCCTTCATAATTGTGTAGAAATTAGAAATAGGTTACCCGGTTTCATTTAAGATTTTTATCGTTCTTTTCCGTATTCGGATACGCAAACGTCAAGTTATTCAAATTCGATGTTTTTGGCAAACAAAAAAGATGGTTGATAATTTTTAGAACGGACAGGATAAAGAAATAGCAAATAAAAGTTATTTTGGACAATGTTTCTATGTCGTATTGAAACTAAATTGCTCACAAAACCTACAAACTTTAAAAATCAATTATAATAAAAGCATGACAAGTTGAAAAAACTGTTTAAACGTCGAATTTTTAGCCGATTGATTTGGCGGACTTTTTGACGTCTTCGACAACTCTAGCGCCACCTAATTAATTTCCCCTGCTATTGTTGCTGATAGAGCTTGACGACAACGGACGTTTCTAAGGACTTGCTTTCCAACTGCGTTTGTAGATTACGTATTTAATTTTACAGACATCATGGAAAATCTACAGAATTCGATATTTCATAAGGAACAACCATGGAACTAAGGAAAACGCGCGTGAAATTCCCCGACATAATGGGTGGCAACGTCCGGGGATATGGGTTAGCAACACCCAGGGGCTATGGGTTTTGTAAAGACGTGCGTTAACCAATCAAACTCCTAGAAATATACTAAGCCGGGGATAAAAAATACACTCATTATTATTCAACATCACAACATTTAATATTTTTTCAATGCAAAACAAGGAAGTGCTGAATAGTGCATTGTAAAAAATCTATGATCGTAGTATCATGATTCGTCAAAGTTGAAATGACAATGACTAACGTTGCTCTGACTAGCCTCTTCAAATATAAATACATAGCTTGTGTATTAGAATAAAGTCATGTCACTTGCGAAAAACCTTATTTGGGTCTCTTAATTATTCCATTGCAAAATGCCGCGCTCATCTCTCAGCTGACAAGGTGTCCGAAGGCAGACATGAATAAATGGAGAAGGCTTACGGCAATCAAAGGCATGTAATAAATTCATGACTCTAGCAACATGCATTTTAAATATATTCCATAGTGAAAGTGAAATTTTATGACAGATAATTCTTTTTATAAAAGGAATATTTAGTGTGTTAGAAGGAATACTGTATATTGTTTTGTGATTTAATATTTTCTTATCCTTACCTACATTTTTCATATTTCACTATAAAGTGTACTTCACTTTATGACAGGAGCGATAAGAGCAACATCACATGAGAAGCAAGACGAGCCATTATTCTGCACATTGACGGGAGAAAAAGGACTACTAGTAGTTTATACGAGCGAAAATTGGTTCAGTTTTCTTAATTTGATAACTGTTGTACACCGCAATAAATAATCGATATCGTAAATGCGACTTACATGTTTTATAACGAATGAGAATAGGAAATCTCTTGATATCAATATTTCAATATAATAAACGATTCTTTTGCGAGTTTATTATTACTTTTAGAATAAGATAACGAGAGTTGATATCAAGCGATATTCAAATTTTACGAGTTGCTTAACCTATTTCTCTTATGACCCGAGTCTCATTGTGTTAAATAAATGAATCCGCCAGTCGTTGATCTAATTTTTGCAAATACCAGAATGACGTCATATGTCATGTATGTCCTGTTCCTTTATGAAAGTTTAACATTAGACATCGAAAAACATGTTGTACGCTTCTGAAAGTAATAAAATTTGACAAACAAATGATTTTTGTGGGAAAGGAGCGAGTGTTTTGTGTGTTATTGATTAAATCACATATGTCCATTGCTATGGGCGAAATGTACATCGTTTCAACCTTTAAAAGTCATCAATGGCCTAATGAATAGCCTTTAAAAAAGCTAATTATAAACTTATTTGTTGCACATGTGTATACTCTATTCGGCAGTTCAAAATAAATATAGAAAGTCAAAACCCTTTTTTTATTTAGAGTGAAAAAAAGATTTTAACAAAAACTTTACATATATACATTTTGGCACCAACAAAAAACTGAATAAAACAATATACACCTTGGACATGTACTATACTAAATAATACAATAACATGACATAGGAAAGAGTCAACTCAGCTCACACATGTTACAAATGATATACACAAGCTAGTGTATCTTATACAATTAGATAATAACCATGTACAAATCTAAAACAAGAGTATTTCTCGTCCCAATCTTTAATTATAGTTTGTTATAAATTCTCTTAGTAATAAAATAACTGTATCCTTTAATTCAGTGCACGGATTGCATTCATATTCATTAACAAAATGATTAGCGCATAATTGATACCAACATTAAAATGATTGTATCTGTCTAAACCAAATGCCCTTTTAACTTATGACTCAAAAATTTATTATGAAGAACTGAGATTTAAATGTATCTTATTTACTTGTAAATGCACCAACTATATGAACAAAATATCTTTTATGTTAATCTATTATTATATAATAAAAAGATAAATAACAATCAGGCTTACATGAACGATAATTAAAGAAGATTTTGGACGAGGATAACCGCATTTTATTTAAAAAAATGTTGTCCCCTCGTTTATCCTGACAATACATCTGCAAAGGAAATTAAATCGGATATAGAATGCCTATAAAACTACAAAGGCAGATGCCAGCTATTTATTTTGTCGTGACATTTCTTCGTCTCGTCGAATTTTATTCGTGAACCCTTTCGAATTTCTATGTTCGTTTTTTGTTTCTGGAAAATCTTATTTCTCATATTTTTCTAAACTTATAATAAGTTACAATGAAATCGTATGGCAAACTCTTATATCGTTCTTGAAATCGTGCTATCTAGATTCATGCATTTATCATGTTTATCTCGAAATAACATTTTAAAGTGTGCCTCAATTTAACAAAGCAGCTTTTATGATAAGCGTTAATTTTCATAATCTATGTTTAATGGTTTGATCCTGTCATAATTATCTCATCCATAACGTATTTGACTTTTTGATTAAAACCGCACCTTTTATTGTAATATACCTTTGTAAGTTAAGTATAGAGTAAATGTTAAAATGTTCTTACCATACCCCAAAGGGTCGATGTCTCTGCAAGTGGACTGATAGTCCCCGAGAGTATCATCAGCCCAGTAGAAAATATGGATTTTGTGTTATTAATATATTTTCAATTAAGGAATATATATCCCTCATGTAACTTTCTTAATCCTTGTCCGGCTTTGGCTGTACTGTCTTTTTTGGTTTATAGCTCTTCATAATATTAATAAGCTTTGGACTCAAGGAGTTTGGTCTCAAGCATCAATGAAAGGACATTTATTGTCGAAGTGCGCATTTGGTGCAGAAAAAATGGTATCGTTCATGTAATTACTACCACTGGGGCGATGCGTCGAGTAGCTAGTACTTGAGAAATGGCATACATGTAAAGAATTTTGTGTTATTAAAATTTGTTGTTGCAAAATTTAGAAATTATTGTCAATAAAGGAATAAATCACCCTCATGCAGAGCTCTGATTCCTTTGTTCGGCGTTGGCTGTACTTTTGTCCTTTCTGGTTTATAGCTTTTCATCTTAATAAGCTTTGGATTTTCAAATAATGTGGCCTCGAACATCATTGAAGAACCATTCAGTGTGCAGCAAACATATGTACCGTTTACATTATTTGAACATGTTAAACAAACATTGAAACATTATAATCGTTTTATTTATTGAGAACTTGTTCAAAAGTATGTAGATATCTTATACACTGGTGCTAATATTAATCTGCATTACTAACATTCATCGTATATCAAATGAATGCAATTTAAAACCGAACACGTAGAAAGATTTTATTTGGAATTATTCGGATAATCAAAAAGAAACAAAACAACATTATAAAGTATTGTTATTCTATTTACTTTGACATGATTTATTGGTACGACTGTGAAAATACAAGAAAAACATTTAACATGCACTTCTTTTCTGTTGCAATTAATAAAAAAATAAAGATGTATTGTACATGCTCAACGATTAATATATCGTAAAACTATTTTACACCATAGAACGCAGTATGTACTCTTAATTTCCAATGTATTACACACTTATCTATGTTCTCACACACACCTTTGTCACAGATGCTATCTACTACGCAAAACAACATCATAAACCGAATCCTAAGACTTATCTCAATTCATAAAAGTATGTTACCACAAAAGGAACGAGGATCTTTTATTCGTGTAGTTCTCCTACAACCGAAAAAATGAAGAATTTCATAAATAAAACTGATAAAAAGCTTTTTTTTTGTACATCGATTGGGCAAGGATATTTTTTTATTAATAGACAAAACAACATTGCTATAAGCATAAAAACAGATACAACATGTACAATGTAACATAAATAAATTTATGCGACAGAATAATACTGAATGAAAAACCTATTCCACACATGAAAAAAAACATAACAAAGGAAGGGGTCAGACAGGGCAAGAAAGATGTGTATAGGGCATACGATACAATTACAGGGGAAGTAATGACTTTGCTAAAGTAAAATGAAATTTGTTTGCGACGTCAAACTGCGACATATCGGGAAAAGATGCATTTTTCGAGTGATTTAAATCATTAGCTTGACATCGAGTACGTGGACCCCACTTTTTAAAATGACATTTGACTTGATGCGGTATGAAGATTATTGATACCAATAATAATGAGGAAATCACCGCTGATTTTTTTTAAATTAGATAAATATACAGCAAAAACGCCTTTCTTTCTATACGCATGAAAATTTAATACAAAATGATTATTTACAAATTGTTACACATACCCTTTTAAAGAAGATATTCAAAATCGTTTTACAAAAATCTGCACGTGTTTACATAAAAAAAAAATTAAGTATGGCTGTCAAACGGATAGAAATATCTAAGAAATTGAAAATCTATGTAAATGTCGAAAATGTCGCCCCCATTTTATTTAGATTTAGCACCCGAAGGTATACTTTTATAACATATTTGAAAATAAAAAAAATAGCTTGTATGCGAATTTTTGTGAATAAAATCAACGTCGGATTAAAACTGTATCGTATGCCCTTAAAATAAATATATTATATGTACCACCAAATTTCAGATTTTTACTATGTACAAATCCAAATACAATATTCTGTATTCAATTTTCAAATATGATTTAATATCACTACTTTAAGGAAACAAGTGTTCTTATCCTTTAACGAACAAGTGAACAGCATGGACTGTATCAACAAACACTAACATAATTATATAATATAATTCAAGATAGTGTGCAAAAAGGCTTTAAAAACGTATTTGCCCTTGTCATTTGTCATTTCTGATACTTATTTTCTTCTGTAGATAATATTATCCGTAAACCCTACTGCATTTCCTGAATCGTATTGTTTTTGAGAACATTGCACATATTTTTTAATGGTAACTGTTTCAAACATATCTGTAATATTGTTCTCTACTTATAAGGATGCATCTCCATAGTTGCAGGGACTAAGCTTTGGTATTGTTGAGCATGTTGACCGTAACTACATGAAGTTTCAGTTCCAGTTTTTTTGCCTTTCTTGATGCTGGATTCAATCATTACCTCTGAATACGCATAACAGTTTGTGTTTCGACCTGCTAATATGTTGTCGTCAATGGTATGGTAAATATGCATACTTTTCTTTTGTTCAGATGCATTTTGATTTCCTTTGCCTGACAATCTTAAAATGTTTTTTTCATCATTGGTAATTTCCGTGTTTGCTTTTTTCCTTCTTTTCTTGACCTGCACACAAGTAAAACAGCCCCCAACCAGCAGTAAAACTCCTGCTATTCCTCCGCAGTAGACAAACCACTTCAACGTTAGAACTATGAAACAAGAAATACATATATGTTTATTTGCGCTGTAGCGTTTGTGTGTGTGGAAGTAATTATGCTTGGAAAGATATTATCGTTTTGATATTTGATTAAGGGTTCTACTGAGGGATACTCAAGCAATTGAGTTCTGGCTGAATCTCTGAAACATACGTATCTCATTAACGCTACCACTTTTCTGCACCATATGCACAGTTCTCCAATTAATGTCTCTTGGGTGTGATTGAGGCAAGTATATTTGCAAATGCAAAATTTAAAAACCAAAAAGGACAAACAAATAGCCAAAGCTAAAGTTATTTCCTTCAATTAATAGAAACCTTAAATCTCATCAAGATGTAACAAATATTTCTCGATTATCACACATAAGTAAAATTGTTACCCGTCTGTGTTACAGCAACACTCTCCCCTGTGGTTCTAATAGAATAAGCGGTGTTTTCTACAAAGAATATATATCATATAACTTAAGCATGTTAAGATACTGATTTAATGTTGAACAATAACGTAAATATTGTTTAGAAATAAGTTCAACGGATAATTGTTTACAGGTGAAATTAGAGTTTAAAAATGTTTACGAGGTTACATCTATCGTTTTGAAAATATATTTTATGTATATAAAGAAAAAAACTAGCAGCATACTGGTTAGTCGAGTATCCTTTTTGTTTCGTGACTTGTTTCTACCCTGCGATACTCGAGTTTTCGAGCGCTTGTTGACATTCCTTGAAACTACTAAACAAAATTATTTCTTCCGATGAAAAGAACCATTAATTCTTATAAAGATATATGGAATATATCTTGACAATCAACATGATCAACACTTAAGAAAAACTGTTACCTGTCTGTGAATCGGGAAAACCCTTCTCCAGAGTTCTTGTGGAATCATCTGTGTTGTCTACAAAGAATATATAACATAACTTCTGTAATATATTTATGGTGTACATGTTATATTGAGCATTAGCGTGAATATTATCTAAATCAGTTTAATGGAAACAATTTTCCTGCAAAAAAAGATCAGAGTAAAAGAAGTTGTTTACGAGTTTTACATCTATCGTTTTGCTCAAACGTAGATCTGAATAGGATAGCTCAATTTCCAATAAATAATGCAAGTCAACCGCCTTCCTACATTACATACTAATTTGTATGTTTACTCACGAAATTCTTAAGCAGAATATCAAAGACAAAGAACGATGACACTGATATATTCTCATATAGTAATAATTTATTTATCTATATAAATTAATACAGCGATGACGAGAATTCAAAAAAGACAAGAAGGACGCATCCATATCCAGTTGATTGACGGATGACCTAAGAAAATGACCTTCAGACGATGGAGCCATGTTAATAATCTAATATAAGTATTTGGTTACTTACACAGCAAATTTAACCAAAGACTTATAATAAATTGCACTTGAACTTGAAGCTTAAGGTTTATTGACAGTCAACCTGCAGGATAACTCGAAAATAAGATTACTTAGTCTTTACTTTTCGAAGTAGTGTATTGTGGACTTGTACGTCTTTTTGTGTTTTTTTTATATACAATAACGTTGTTACTTTTTTATCAACTTATGAGTTTAGAATATCTCAATGCAATGGTCCCCCTCGTTTCAATTTTAATGTGGTGTTTAATTTACTAAATTCTAAATAAACACATTTGTACTTATTGAATATTTAAGAGATAGAGAAAAAGAGAAATGATTACAATGTTTAATCTGTTTGTGATTAGACACTAGACGAACTTTAATTCCATAAATAACTACTGGTGCTAAGAGAAGCCGAGATAACCCTAAAATGCATTGTATATGCTATATTCTGTAGCATTTTAAATTGATACAAAATTAAAGGGGGAAAAGCCACAAGTTAAAGTAAGCGAAAAACATCGTTGATTTGCTGGCCTGACTGTGATGCATGTACATGTCTTTGTACTTTGTTAGATTTGTTGTCATTATTTATTCATATTGTATTATATGAACCTTATTGTATTGAATATACTATCTATAAAAACCAATAGGGAAACATGTATCATATTAATTATTTACGGTAAACTATTTTAAATGTTAAAACTATAGTTTTGGACGGGTTCCACAGGTGGAACAGTATCTGCGTACCATACTAGAGCACCTGAAAAAAACGCCCAGTTTTAGTTGGGTTTGTGTTGCTCAGTCTTTAGTTTCCAGTGTTGTGTTTTGTATAATGTTGTTTGTCTTCTTGAATGTTTCTTGTTTTGTTTTTTTTCTTGGTTTTTTAACAATGGAGTTGTCTGTTTAATTCTAATTATGAGTTTGAATGTCCCTTTAGTATCTTTCACCTTTCTTCGAACAAAATAAAAATAGCATTCATCATTCATTTCATAATACCTATAAGATATAGAATATGTATCATTTCGAGAAAAAACATATCACTGTTGAATCATAAATTGCTTGCCTGACAAAGTATAAGCAATGGCATTATCCTTGGCTGTCACGGGAAGGCTTTTGTCCTTTGTAGTTGCAGCAACACTTTCTACAAGCGTAATATACGCAGTTTAAAACTAAGATGCAAATCATCTGGAAATTGAGTGTATGTGTGTGTGTGTGTGTGTGTGAGAGAGAGAGAGATAGGCCGCATATGTTGTGGTCGCATTACATATATAGCATTGCTTTCAAAGGATGTCGAATGGTTAACTCAAGATCAGTTATATTTTTATAACAGAAGAATACAAGTTTATCAAAATAAATGCACTGAAGCAATCGTACAGTTCTTATTACATATTCATCTAATGATATTGCACAATATGACAAATATGTAAGAGTGTATAATGATACATTGTATAGAACGTTGAGGAACAAAACGGAAAGGTCAAGGTCACCTGGCATGAACCTCATGTGAAATTATCTCTACATAGTAATATTCGTTAGACGTGTTGATAACAATAATCCACTAGGTGAACTGTATATTCATTTAATGTGTGCGCATAACCTTTTATCCATTTTGTGTTCAAGTTGACAAATGCACATTGCAGCTGTGCATGATTGTGAATAAAGGAAGTATACTCTGATTTTTTTTTATCTGATGTGTTTCGTGCTATGAAAAAGAAGAAAATAAAACATTTACCCGTCACTGCTAAAGAAAGACTGTTCTCCTTCATTTGAGTAGGCAAAGGAGTGTCTTCTACAAAGATATTACATAATTATGTATTATTAAACATAGTCCTACTGAAACGAAAAGTATAAAGACAAACGGTGTAGCCTAGATAAAAATAAAAGGACGAATTAAAAGAATCAAAATTCTGACTTTGGACACTATAATTAAAGAATTAAGATTATTGGTATTGTATAATAACATTGTAGGCGGTACTTGATAAATCTTGGGTCTTAAGTTGCTTTTTATGAAGTTATTGGTTGACTGATGACTAGCTACACACCGTAATTACAAAATTGAAGAAGGTCTTGTCTATTCAGTACGATAATATGATATAAACAGTTTAACTCCTTCTTAAACTTGTATGTTTGTTTGAATTTTTTATTCAATTGTCTTGCTGTCTTTTGACTGCTGGATCCCAATTATTGTCACATTAACCTATTCATACTTTTATGTCTGTTTGAGTTTCTTATCCAATTTAGTCAGTATAACGGAACTAAAAACAACTGTCATACATGTGAGAGGTTAAGCTAGCTATAAAACCAGTTTTGACCCACCATTTTCTTCTGAAAATGCCTGTACCAAGTCAGGAACATGGCAGTTGTTTTTCACTTGCTCTATTGATTCATAGAGTCTAATATTATCAGTTTTACTGGACCTGCCCACCCACCCCCCCCCCCCCCCCCCCCCCCCCCCCTTTCGTGAATTTGCCATGGAGTTCGGTAGTTTTGTTTTATTTTTTTTTCGAGGCAGATTATACCTGAATGTAAAGCTACGTCCACACTCAGTTGATACGAGGACACATCACTTGCAAGAACATAATATCTATCTTCAAGTTCAGCTGTATTTGTTTTTACTCCTGAATGCTCCATGTTAGCTGAAGACGATATTTGACCTGTCTTTTGAGGTCAACCCACTTCAATGCCACAGTTTGATAAATCAGTATTTCTTCAGTATTCCATATACATTTGCAATGAATTTATATTCATTTTCATCATAAAGACGACAAGCAAAAACAAGCATGAACAGATTCGTCGAAGTTTAAATAAGCGTTTCGCTGAAAATACCTATCCATGATTTGCAACAAAGAGAACAAATGCCGTACCTCTGATTGTTCCGGGAAAGCCTCTTTCTAATGTTTTAGTAGTATAAAAAACGTCTTCTACAAAAAAAAACATAGCATATGCGTTACTTTCTAACGATGAGAACAGAGTAAAGGAGAAAATAAATAAAAACATGACCATATGATGTTGAGGCTAACATGAAAAGAGAAATATCTTTTTTGTGTTTAAATATATCACTAATACATGGTTTGATATTTGGGCATGATTTCGATTGTATAAACTGAACTGCATATTTTAACATTAAGTTTTAGATGAAAATATTGTTGGAAGATTAACATTAAAAAACATATGTGTTGCTGTATGAAATGCACGACATATTTAGCAATACGTTTATTATTGAAATATTGATATTGACAAGCTTGTTGCGTAACGGTCAAGTTGATCATTATTTTAAAGCAATGCTTAGATGTCATTTTGTTTTTATCCGCACTAAGTTTCATATACTTCTTGCTAATGCGGAAGTTCGTGTCTAAATATAATATCTTTTGTATGATCATTTTTTTTTTAAATTTACTATTTACAAAATTTTGAAATAGTGAAGATGTTCTTATATGACCTTAACTGTAATTTGAAAAACTCCTGGAGATTGTGGGTCCTCAATGCTCTCCAACTTCGCACTTTATGTGGCCTTTTTATTCGAGCTTCACTGATGAGTCTTTTGTAGACGAAACACACGTCTGGCGTACAAAATGATTAGTCTGGCATTTCTGACAAGTATCTTTACATAACTGCTTAGTCAATTGTCTAGAGTACCCAATCTTAAAGTAAAGGACGGCCTAGTTTCAGGGATATATTTGTTATTGTCCGTTCCCTTTTTTTATTCTGGTGATTAAATTAAATTTGGAAGGATTGAGAACTCTCCCTTGCCAACTAAAAGTATAATCCAACCCAATGTGTTCGTGCCTGTTCAATTAAAGAACCTGTTCAAGGTATTTTTCCATAATTGTTTTTTTTTTCTCATAAATTTACAGGTATTCACATTTATTTCTCTAATGGCACAACACTCAAGCAAATGAGAAAAATGCATAATATGGTAAAACAGTATGAAATATATGAATCATATATAACATTTTCATTATTATGATAAAATTAGTAGTATTAGTTTATGGTAGTTTTAAGTTATTCCAGACTCAATTTTTGTTTAGTCGCGGATTTCTGTGTTTCTTTTCTGAAGGCAGAATCTTTAATAAAGATGATTTACCACTATAACACAAATCAATTTAACAAACACAACACGAGGAAATCACAAGATATCTAAACATTTCGAGACCGGATTCATCTACAGGGTAAACATCTTCTGATATGCATGCATAACCTGCCAAGCAATTATAATATGTTAATCTATACTCAGTCAAAATGTCACAATTAGGTATTGAACTCAACTGGTAAAATTACAGATCAGACGACTATTTTGGTATCAACAAGTCTAAATATCTGCAAATTAGTGATTGTGGTTGTTTCATGTTTGTCATGTTTGTTTTTTCGTTTTTTTGGTTTTTTTTTAATTAGACCGTTTGTTTTCTCGTTTGAATTGTTCCCTATTTTTTCTTGTCCTTGCCTTTTATAGCCTACTATACGGTATGGTTGTTTTTTTCTCATCGTTGAAGGCTGTATGGGACCTATAATTGCTTGTATCTAATTATTTGAACTCTTGCGCATCGAAACTCATACAAAATCTCCTTGTTTATATAGGACCGCTTAACACATGTTCTTAAAGAGAGAAAATATATGAAAATAGTACCTACCCCTGACTTCTTTTTTTGGTACACACCCAACTACATTATCACACCTGTGCAATATATATTTAATAGATAATGCTTGACAACATCAATTATCAAATTCATCATGTTTCGTGTTAATTTGAATAGTTATTTCTTGTAATTTCAGTATATCATCTTCTTTGAGAGGTGAACTATTTTAACTACGTTAAAATAATCTTGCATATCGTTGAAACATATATTGAAAAAAAAAAAAACAAATATGAATATATAATCGTGTAATTGAATGTAATGGTGTCCTCAACAGAATGATATGAAGCGTTTTACACACTACTTATTAAACAATCATCAAAAACATTCTCTTTATACAAAGACATCTGTATCGGACACCTAATTGACAAACATCATCGACCCGATATTTTTATGAGGCCTGTTTTGTTTTTCCATTAAATACCATAAGCAACATTGCACGATACTATCACATTAAAAACATAAATACTAATTTTTGACACACTTATATATATCAAATAACTGTTAAATGTACACCTTTTGATTTTCAAATATTGTGTGCTTATTGTGAGGCACATTAATTGTGGCCATGAACATATATTTTACTTTTGTCAAGTTTCAAGTTGATTTTAGATTTTTCATGTTTGGTATGTAATATTTTTTCACGTATCTGTAATGACAGTAATATGAAGTTTTAGATCTGCTTATATTCCATATTAAAATTCTATTTTTTCTTTTTCCTTGTCGAGATAAAAAAAAAAATGGGTACCAATAGTTAAACGCTTAACACCCAGACAAAAATAATCTTGGTAATTTTCTATGCACATCTTGTTTGTTCATTTTCTTTTGGCCGATGTGGGGCTTCACATGCTTTATAAACACTTCTATTGTGTTGACCTCATGTACCGTTTCTGTATATATCAGCTGCTCATATCCAAATCTCCTTTACAGAACAAACCAACAATTTAGACATAAGAACCCGTGAAAATAGCAAACATAATACTGCTTAGATTGGACTTTATTCGGACTAATGCTATGTCTAAAAGGTAAGCCTAGAAAGGTTAGCCAACATCTATATAATATTATTCTTGCGTGAACTTAAACGTTTCAAACCAGTTTGATGTTGATGAAAGTACTTTAAGTGAATCAAGTTTGGTGTACCTAGTTTGAATACTAGTAACCTTGGAAAAGTGTCTTACTCATTATATCGGATGGTCAATTCTTTCATATTTCAAAATGGATTGTGGCATCAAAAAATATCTTAAGAGCCTTCCAGAGTTATTTAGAAATATTTACAAAATTAGAGACGGCAAATTCACGATAACCTATAGAAACATATACAAAGTAAAACAACAAAAATACCGAACTGCAAGGAAAATTCAAAACGGAAAGTTCCTTAACAGTTGGCAAAATCAAAAGCTCAAACACATCAAACGAATAAAAAACAACTGTCATATTCCTGACTTGGTATAGAATAGGGGCAAAAGATACCAGAGGGACATTCAAACTCATAAATCGAAAATAAACTGACAACGCCGTTGCTAAAAAAGAAATAGACAAACAGACAAACAATAGTATACAAAACACAACATAGAAAATTAAAGACTAAGCAACACTCACCCCACTAAAAACTGGGGGTGATCTCAGTTGCAAAGGAGGGTAAGCAGATCCATCCTGCTCCACATTTGGCACCCGTCGTATTGCTCATGTTAGTACAAACCCGGTAAATAGTCTAATTCGGTAGGTCACATTCGTGAAAAGGGAACGGGATTGTAGTATAGGCATTTCCTTGTGTAGAAATTGGTGTATTAAACCTGGTTTCGAGTTAGCTTAACCTTTCACTTGTATGACAGTCGCATGAAATTCCATTATATTGACAAAATGTGTGAACAAAACAAACAGACGTAATCAGTAAAAATATCAAAAATAGAGGTACAGCAGTCAACATTGTGTTATAATCTCAATCACTATAACAACAAACAAATATGTCCACAAAGAAAAATAAAATGGCATATAGACAAAGGACATACGCCAAAATTAAACACAAAAATACAAAATATTACCACAGCACAACAACACAATGGCGGGATGCACAAGTACCAAGCCACACCTATGGTTGAATATACTACAATTCGAAAGAATATGTTAGCAATGCAAAGAACATATTTGCATACGAATAACACGTATAATAGTTAAGACTGTAGAATAATAAAACTAACATGTTCTTCCATATAATAGAAATCATCCAAACCATGCCAACATGGAAGGGTTTATGTCTCTTTGTTAAACTGAACTTTACCAGAAATTCTCAATATTTATTGGAAAACTATATTGTATCTTCTGGCTTTGTTTTGCTTGAAAATCTGAATGAGTAATGCAATAAAAACAAGTAGATAATTACATGTTCATTGTATAAATTGTATTACAAATTACGACAAGTAACTCTTGTACTGCACGCTTATGAAAATTGTGAAATATCTCTTGAAATCAAAATAGTATGTAGAAGTATTTTACCTCTCTACACTTTGACAGTTACAACGAGCCAGACATCTTTCACCGAATCTGTTGTTTCCACATGGGGTGCATGGGTTTCCGTTTATAGATGTAAAACCAATGTTGCACTCTGTAAAACAGGTCATAATATAAATATGATATGTTATCTATTTTCCAATAGTTCATTTGGACAAGTCACTCGTTTGGTTTGTGTTTGCAGTTAAACCGAAGAGTGTAGATATTAAAATCGAGAACTTGTTCAAATTCCGTATGATAGATGCGAATACGAATATTTGTCTTCATGCCGAATTTATTTTTATTTGCCAAATCAGGCTGAATTGGACTATTCAAAATCAGATGTCCTGCATTTCTGTCCCGGTTTCACCTAGATAAAAAATAGCTAATTGTGTGTGATCCGTAATGAAATAATCTATATATTACATATTTTTATGAAAGATGCACGAGATTTGCCTTTGAACTCTGTAAAGTATAAAACCGTGACAATTCGAATTAAACTCACTCAAAAATTTATAATGATTGTTACCGATTGTCTTTTATTAGTTTTTACTGTTACTGCTGTTTACAAATAATTTGATCAGTTATTATATAAAACGTTGTTACAATTTTTGTGTTTTTGTTTTTGTTTCAAAACAACCTTTGTAAAGTTTGCATGTACCATTATTACATTAATATTATTTTTTTTCTTTATGAACATACTAATAATATTTCTAATCTTTAATCTTGTAATTATTTACTACTGGTGAAATTCAATGCATTCTTAAACATTTAAAATCTTTAAATTGCTATTTTTCTTTACGCCAACATTAAGTACAGCAGTTATGCCATTCTAGCTAAGATAGTCCTAAGATAGCTTCGATGTGCATGCTGAGACATGTCGTAAGTTGGTCCTAACATTATCTTAATTTATTCCCAAGAGAAGTCTCAGGACAAATCCTAGGATAGATTCGATAAACAGCCCTCTGGTATCTTTGATTGTTTTTTTTAAATAGTTGAAATATTGGCTGCGGATCAACATATATGAGATTGCATTCCAGTAAAAAAAATGCTACCATTCTACCATTGTTTTATTCTCTGATAGCATACTTGTAAATTATAAGATTAAAAGTCTCTATGTTTCTTTGGCATTTTAACCATGCATGAGCATGTGAAACTATTACTGATATAATACGATTTATTGTTAATCGTTGTCGTTGAAGTTGTATATCTATGATGTATATTTACATAATTTTAGCTGCTTGATCGTATTTAGTAGGACATTAGCCAATTTTGTTTGTTTGGCTTGCTCACACTGTTTTATTAATAAAACGGAACTATAAAAACTTGTCATTAAAGTGGGAGGTTTCGCTTGCTATAAAACCCGGTGTAACCGACCATTCTGTACCAAGTAAAGAATATGTCAATTGTTGTTTGTTCGTTCCGATGGTTGATTTTTTCGAAGGTATGCTTTTGCCAGGTTTTACGGACATCCTTTTTTTAAGAACTTACAGCGATTTCGGTATTCGTGTAAATACTTTTTTAACTTTCGTCAAAAATATTCTTAATATGCGATGGAGGTCATAAAGGAATCTAAATATATGTGTGTTACACCGTGTTATTAAAGGGACATTTGCTACAAAATTGACAAAAACATTAAAGAATGCATTGTTTTTTCTTTTTTTTCTTCTTCAAACATTAATGAATGGCTGATATTTTTTTGTTCAAGCATATTGTTTTTCTTAAATTGTTTAACATTTCACAGCGGTATAACATGTAACTTTAATTATTCTTCCATTAGTTTATTTATTCTGTATTTACATTGTATCATATATCAGATTTATTTGTTCAGTGTATGTTCACTGGTGTTAATATGTCTTTTGATTGAGTTAAGCCATTTCAATTGATATTTTATAGTGTGTCTTTCTATGTTATGATGTTACACTATTGTTTCAGATAAGGGTGAAGGTTTGGTACCATTAAAACGTTTAAACCCGCTGCAATTGTTTGCACCTGTCCTAAGTCAGAAATCTGATGTTCAGTAGTTGTCGTTTGTTAATGTGGTTCATAAGTGTTTCTCGTTTCTCGTTTTTTATATAGATTAGACCGTTGGTTTTTCCCGTTTGAATGGTTTTACACTAGTAATTTTTGGGGCCCTTTATAGCTTGCTGTTCGGTGTGAGCCAAGGTTCCGTGTTGAAGACCGTACTTTGACCTATATTGGTTTACTTTTAAAATTTTTGACTTGGATGGAGAGTTGTCTCATTTGCACTCATACCACATCTTCTTATAACTACAAACGATGATTTACGTATATTTCAATCTTTGAGAGAAAAAAAAACTTATGGCACATACTTCTATTTTTGTAACTAATGTTTATATAACGTAACATTACCATCGACAGTCTTGAGAAGTCATCACCGTGGTAAATAAGACGACCGACTGACGTCGTCTCATTAATTATACATACATGCTGATACTGTATTTCCAAATCATGCATTGTTTGTTGTTTTCAATGGGCCAGTTTAATATTGGTAATAATCACAAACTGTAACAATGTCTTCCTATAACAGAGGCCTTTTTGACAGCAATTACACAAAAAAGGGAAAAAGTAATCTATATGTTTATTAAAGTGACTTTCCTACCCTGCTTATTAAGTGTAAAAAAGCTGTTTGTATAAGTAACATTACTCTTTCTTTTAATTTTCATGTCAATTTTCATAATTAAAAAAGTTAAACCAGGTATAATCTAATACTATATTAAGCAGTGAATATTGTTAAACCATTGCCGCCTTTTTTTGACAGAAATTGCAAAATGAAGGCAACATTAACCGGATTCAATACTAGTATTTACCTATACATATACCATGTTTGTCTTCATAACCTGCACAGCAATACTCTGTTTTGCTATAATCAAAGTATATAAAATAAAACCAGAATACATTTTAATAAAGTCTTTTGCAATAATAATTGCGTAAATTATATTTGCGTTTCAGCATAGGTATGTTTTAACAATAAGAAGCTGTTGCATGCTTTCCAATTGGACAATTACCCATCAGACACTAACTAACATGCATTCAAAAAACGATAGGTCACTGAACGGCCGTCAACAACGCGAAAAACCAATACCATTTACAATTAAGTTTTACAAAAAGCTCAAACAGGCCATTATGTTGCACAAATCAAATAAAAACACCAACGTCCTCATTAATGATAAAACAAATTAAAGGAAAAGAAATATAAGAGACATCAACCAACGATTACAACTGAGTTTTAGGATCTTCACATGAAATGGGCAAATTCACAATTTCGTTATGATAAACATGTGTGAGAGCGCTTAATCCTGTCCATGATCGTGGTATTACAGCAGAAATAAGAACAAACTGTAAATTTTTGTTGAAAATGCTTGATTCATTAAAGTGACACAAATCACACAATACAGCGATTATTATGTGTGGGTGATAATTATGTAGTACTATAATTATTGAACTTAGTCATATAATTGATATCCAATTGAAATAATGACTTAAGTACAACAGTCTATTAATCAATCGTTTACAAAATTTATTGTGTGTTTGTGTTACATTGATCGATCAGGAGTTAAAGAAAATATTATGTTGCGTATTTGAATGTTAAGACAATGACGTACAGTTTATTCTTGCAAACTATGTGTTCATTGTTTTCGATTAGTACCAATCGTAAGTAACAGAAAAATGTGAACCAAAAAAAATGTACCTAGATAAAACAATTTTAAAAATCGATTCAGTATATAGATTAGTTGCATGTAACCAATAACAATAAAAGTTGGCATGTTATAATAATTTATACAAAGAAAAATTGGACTGATTTAGAATTGCGATATGTATCAGATAATGCAAATTGTTTATTTATTTGAATAACAAATTTTTAAAAAATATATCACAGTTTGAAAAACAATATGCATTAAAAAACGTATATGTCAAACAAACAATTGATTCAATCATTTAAAGGATGTGGTTCGAATATCCTGGAAATATTGAATAGAAATAGCTCTACATTGTAAAATTGAAAAGAGGTCATTTCCGCAGAGGTCAATTTATGTAAAACTTATATATATATAATTAGTTTATATAAATTATGTAACGATGCCTAAAAGTTGCATAACGAAAGTCAACAAATAAGATACAATAAAATATGTGAATGTTGGGTTTATAGAAGGTTATTATAGGAAGTATATCATATTGATTATGCTTCCTTTTCGGCTTAGATACAAGGATGTGTTAGGTGTATTTCATTGAGACAATATTCAAGATGGGAAAAGAATAGGACATTCCAGGGCTTTATTTGGGCCAAAAATACGAAAATTTAAAAGTTATTATAAGTGATTAAAAATATCCTAGTAATGGAAACGTAATACCTTTTTGATAAATAGAAACATATTTCACCTTTGACGAGTAACAATGGCCCAAACCATGACAAAATGTTTAAATTTATGAAATTTCTTGATTTTCCTAGTAAATAATATGAACTTTAGAGTTCATATTTTTTTTTATTTTCCTTAATAAAGTATATTTGGATAGGGGAAGTATGTGCGCACGCATTCGACAACATATATATGCCGATGTTATGAAGATAGCTACAATAAAGTTTCTCGAAACGTATGTTGATGTTTCTTGACTTAGCAAAAAGACAAACGACGTTGAACGATTTTTTATAACAATAATAAACACACATGTACATGTAAATCTACGATTTCAGTGAACCCATTTTCCATTTTGCGCATGAAATTTTTAAGGATTTTTTTTTTAACTCAAGAGTTATCAAATTAACGGTTAAGTGTTACATGGATCTGTATCAAATATATGATGTACTTACAGCGAGGAGTACAAAAAAAAACAACAAAGCAAAAAAACAAAAACAAAAAACGCACAAGTCGAAGCAAATCTGACACCGTCATAGTTAAAAACGAAAAACGACGAAATTGCGAACACGTTCATTAAACGTTATCAAGAACCCCATCTGTAACAGGGGTACTCAGGTAGGGTAACCACCTCCTGCTCCACATGTAGCACCTGCCGTGTTACTCATGCAAGTACAGATCAAGTGATAAGGCTCAACTGGTGATATCAAATTTAAGGAAAATAGGACGGGACTTTGGAAACGACAATTGGAACATATCCGTCAGCTCGTAATGGCGTACTAACAATGCAAGACCGATTAAGAAAGAGTACCACATGATCAACACATTTCATTTTATAATTGCTATATATTTCAGTTGTTACTAAAGTTAAAATGAAATATTTATACAAATTAGTAAGTATATCAGTTTTTTTTTTTTTTAATAAAAAGAAACTTACCTTCTAAAGTCTTCACATACATTCAAACCTTCCAAACTTTTGCCTTCATGTATAGTAAAGACTATTAGCAATACAAAGTTAACTGACATTTTTTTGTTTCGGTGCTAGCAACATTCATTATCAGTCTTTAGAGTGATCAGATATAAGGAAGAATTTTCAATACTAATAATTGTCGGTAAATTTAGTCATGAAAGCACGTAGAATAACTACAGATTGAATGTAACCAACTTCCGACCTCGTGATGGACTCGTTCAAAGTTTATAAATGAAAAGGCCCGAAAAAGGGTAATGTTATTGCCAACCTTAACATTTCTCTTCATTTGCAATTTATCTAAAGAAACAAGCTTAACTAGTATGATTAACAGGTTATGTAGATTAGCTACAATAATGTGTTGCATATGTGTCGCAGTTTATAATTATTGAATCAATAGGTTGCAATAAACAGACCAGAAGATGTAGTATAATTGCCAATTAAAATTCGACATTATTATATTTCTTTGTTTAGTTCATTCAATTTCATTCACTCTTGTTATTCTGCAGTTGTGGAAATAGTATTTTCATCCCATGCGGAAATTTAGCTATACATTGATTGATTCATGAATTGATTGGTATTGAACGCCACTTTCAGAACTATTTGCTATGTTGTGGAGGTCAGTTTTTATTGGCGGAGGACACGGCAGCTATACATAGAAGGCATCGTAATTCTTATTGATAAAATTGAGAATGGAAATGGGGAATGTGTCAAAGAGACAACAACCCGACCAAAGCCTTTTTCTTTGACTTGATGGTTTCTTTGTATATCATAATGTTACATATCACTGAGTGGTAAGTTTGTGATGTATGTTTACACAGTTTTGGCTGCTTGATAAATCGTCACATTTACATGTTATATACCAATAAGCAGATGTGGTATGACTGCCAATGGGACAACTATCCACCAAAGCTCAAATGAAATGGATGTAAGCACTTATACAGGCAACCGTACGGCTATCAACAATAAAAAAAAACATACCGTATGAAAGGCCCCGAAATAAAAAAAAAAAAAGAAAACGCGAAACAATTCAATTGAGCAAAAATAACGGCCAACGCCTGTTTGGGGAGCTCACTAAATGTTGTCACTATAATATAACTATAAACAACTGTCATACTAGTCGAAAGTTGAGCTATAAAACAAGATGTAATCCAGTATTTACTTCGGAAAATGCCTGTACCAAGCCAGATATGTGACAGTTGTTGTCTATTCGTGTCATTGGTTAATGAGGTCAAACGCTTGATTTTGTCATGTTTAATAGAGTTTCACCTTTGAATTTACTTTGGAGTTTGTTAATACTTTTTTGTGAATTAATTTCTTAATATCCAGGAAAATATTCATGATAACATTTGAAAAAAAGCCACAGTGTAACTATAAACACTCATCTTCACATTCTATACTAAGTCTATATAGATAAGAAGATGTGGTATGAGTGCAAATGAGACAACTCTCTATCTAAGTCACAATGTGTAAAAAGTATACAGCTACAGGTCAAAGTACGGCCTTCAGCACGGAGCCTTAGCTCACACCGAACAGCAAGCTATAAAGGGCGCCAAAATGACTAGTGTCAAACAATTCAAATAGGAAAAACAACGGTCTAATCTATATGAAAAAACGAAAAAACGAGAAACATGAATGGTAATTCTGTGTATGTTTACACAGTTTTGGCTGCTGGATAAATTGTCACGTTTACATTTTATAAACAAATAAGCAGATGTGGTATGACTGCTAATGGGACAACTATTCATCTTTTGAATTTACGATATTATTTAATCTAACAGACCATTGATATGTGACTTTGTGTCCGAAAAGTTTATGTTTTACTAGGAACTTGAACATGTTGAATAAAACCTTGCTTTTTGTAAGAAGATGGTGCACATTCTTTTTTTTTAAATTGAAAATGAAAGACGGAAATGAAATTTAAAAAAAAATTGAAAATGGAAGACGGAAATGAAAATAGTCGTCTTTTTCTGTTTGACAAGCAATACGAATATTTGACTGTCCATAGAAATTCTCAATTTCTTATTATTTAGTTTTTATTATTTATTTCTAGAAATATAAATACATGAATAAAGATAGGATAATGTATCACGGATTTGTTGTTTCCTCTATTCATAGTTCATGTAGTGATGTGTATCGCTGGTTGTAGGGACCACAGTAACATACGAGTTGAGATGCCTGCAGTGATCTTCATTTCCACTGTTATCAATGATAGTGCCATACGATCCATTTATGACTTGTAAATATGAGCTACTAGCTACATGTGTGTCGTCGGTCAACTGAAATGCATTATGACCTGCATTTACGGAAACGTTTGGATATCCGTTTTCTCCAATGATCCTAATCGCATTTATCTTGTTTCGTTTTTTACAAAAGCAGGTAAAGCCCAAACAGCCTCCAATCATAACCAGTACGCCAAATATTGCAGCCCAGAAGATAAGCACGTTCAATTCAAATACTGAAAATGTTTATATATGAAATGTTATATATGTATACATATATATATATGTAATTCATGATTAGATTGTTTGTGAATGTCAGTAATACTTAGAGATCGGAATCAAAATCGACAAAGATATATATCTTATCAGAACTAAACCAATATCATGAATATCTAGTTTGTATTGTTTGCTAGTGTTGTCAAACTTTACATGAAGTTGTTTTTCACTTGTTCCGTTGATTGATCACGTTTGATTTTGATAGTTTGTATGGACTTTTGCCTTTTTGAATGTGCCTGGGCGTTCGGTATTTTTTTATACTTTTTTATATGAAAATATACTCATTTAAAATCTTAAAATACAGTTTCTAATAAAAAACTGTCGAACTTAACTTGAAAAAGCAAAACAAGTCATGTTTTTGTACTTAATTAAACCAGTATGAACAATCATGTGTCCGAAATATTTAATGACTTCCATTGACAATGTGTCAGGAAAGTAGGCTACATTTTTTTTTTCATTTTGTGATGCATAAATTAAATAAATATACTACTGTATGTGTCAATTAAACAAAACATCACGATGATCTTACCGAAAAAGCTTACGACGAAGAGACAAACAAGTTCACAAAATAATACAACGAATTCTCAACACAATTCAATTTTAACAGAAAAAAAAGGAATTCATTCTGTGTAACAGGAATATAAGTTTTGTGTGTTATTTTTCTGTGTAATCAGAAGGCATGGTAACTTTTGATGACCCGTCACAAGAAAAAAATCAGGGGAAAGTAAGGAAATTTGATTAATGTTTGACAGAGAATAAATAAACTTTACCGAACCGCACGTCAAAAACTATTAACTTACCCTTCGATGAAGCTATAAATCGGCTTAGAATAGAGAAAATAAATTAAATGTTTAAATTAAGCATTTAGGTTAATCAACTTCTGTTTTTTGGTAGGATTTGTGTTATAGTCTTTGGTTTTCTATGTTGTGTTGTGTATACTGTTAGTTGTCTTTTGGAAGTTTTTTTTTCGCTTTTTGTCTTGACATTTTCAGTTCGTTTTCAACTGATGAGGTTGATTATTATTATGATATTTTCCTCTCTCTTCTCTTTAATTATGGTTGGCTGATGGCATCAGAGATGTATATTTATCGTAAATTCTTATAGAAAAACAAAATGTTTCGGAAAAAATATTTAAATGGAGGTCATTAAAATCATTAAATTATTTATTCCCTTCAGGACTATGTTAAGGTCTGTGTCCTTGTTTTTGAGATATAAGCCATTAAACATTTGTCGGGAAACGATTCTATTTAGATTGTTCATGCATTTAATATTAGAACCGTTTTCTTTTAAAAACAAGGAAAAAAATATTATGAAGAGTAAGTTAGTCAGCTGGCAAAATTCGTAATAGTGTAACATGAATATAACCGGAGGATTCTGAATATAAAAGAAGTAAAAACAAGAGGCTATAGAAGCTGCCATACTGTCAGAACGGCTAAACACTCCGTATTAGCAACAACATCGCAGTTGGAGCAGGATGAAAGCAAAAAGACAGGCAGATCCAAATCTGTAACTTACGTACATTAGTCCGCAATATCCAAAAGGATAGCCGGACCTTAAAACCAATCACCATCTTCATCAGCGTACATATTTATTTTCTAGACGAACTAAAGTACAGTCTGAACTCCTTAGTTGATGAACATGGAATTTGATATATCACCTTGAGAAGCATATAGGTATCGAATCGCTTCAATTTAGTTTTCACGTACAAACACATCATCTTTTATCGTAGGAAGCCTCGAAAGATTTGTCAGAAAGTATACTTCATGTAACTCAGAATTTTTGACCGAATATGATATTTGAATCATAGAATCATAGGAAAAGCTGAGAGAGTGCAGAGGAAATATAAGTATATGTAAAACCGATTACTATGACCATATCTTTATTCAAATAACTTGAATTAAAGTTTCAATGCTGCTTTTGTGAAACGTCATTTGTAAGTTTCTTTCATTTGTATAAAAGATCATTTAAATAATTCGTGAAGGCACTAGAGTGACATCCCGTTTACTCACGACATACTCACGGTAATCTGTCACTCTTTAAATCTTTTTCGGTAAGGTCATCATGATGTTTTATTTAATTGAAAAATACAGTAGTTTATTTACCGAATTGCTTTTCTGAAGAATATTTGAAGTTAAACTATTAATTAGAACACAACACTGAAAATTGCTAAAAAAAACAACATTTTTTATACATTAAACAACTTTTTCAAACGCCTGAATAAAATGTGTATTGTAATCATCACTCTTGCTTTATAATTAAAATAAACACTAAATGGTGGCATTAAAATCAAATTTAATTTCAAAAATTAACTTAAATCAGGGTTTCCTGAAAGATATACTAAAACATGGTTGACTACCAAAACAGTCAACGACATTTTTACCCGTCATTGATTCGGAATGGTTTCCCACCACAGCTCTTGTTGTATAATTGACATTTTCTACAAAGATAATTTTAAATTTATCATGTGAATTATGCATAAATTAAAAGAAAAACTAACTTAAAAAGAGAGAGCAGTTTAAACATATGTTATTGATCAAAATGATAAATGGATAAGACACAAGTTTAAGAACTTGGTAACGTATTCTCCAAAAAGGGATAGTAATCAACATTAATGAACAAAGAAAAAATAAACTTTCAAACAAATGCTGCAATTAACCTTACAACAAAATCTCTCCGTTTCTTGATTAATCACGTTTCGCATCTGATTTCATGAGATTATCATGTTTTGTGGCGTATAAACAAAGTCGACACGAAAGCCAAAAAAAAAACGTTCAATGTACACATACAACATTAACATCGAAAGGGAAAATATGTGAACTACAAAAAGTGACGCCATTTTGCAAGTTTAACAATAGTATATGTACAGACGACAAAGTGCCGAAGTAGCCAATTTGCAGCCTGTTCAAGTAAGCAGTTCAAGCAAAACTCATCAAAATACCAGCTTTTAATTCTGAACGCAAGGGGCACGTTTCATCTACAAAAGACTCATCAGTACCACTCTATTCAAACAAGTTAAAAAGCCAAATAAAGTACGAGCGAGGTCGTAGATCATTATAGCATGTTGGGGATTCAAAGTCTAGAAAGGTTTTTTATATACAGTTCTCTATCTGATAAAGTAAAAATGTTTAAAGATATTTCTATATAAATTTGAGATGACCAAGATAGTTGAACCAATTTTTCCATTGCTAAAAAGGCGGAAGATACAAAGGGGACATTGAAAAAACATAAGTCGAGATGAATTGACAACGTCATTGCAAAACAAAAAACGAAAAACGATGAAGAGACAAACAAGTTCACAAACCACTACATTTAAAACTGAGGAATAATCAAAATAAAGTCGTAAGAACATGAAGAACTGTTAAGTAAAAGCTGCTATACTCTGAAAAAACCTACCGCCAACTTCAAACTTTTGAACGCACCCATTCATATGATCACACCTGCGTAAATAAAAAAAAGCACTGACATTTCAATATACAGGAGGAATAATATGTTCACGTTCATTATACGTGAAACTTGATTATGTGATAAACATTGCAATGGTTATCTTACCTTGAAGATCTTACCTTGATCGACAAAGGAATTTAACACGACTGGTGCTATATGTGGAACAGGAAATGCTCACCCTTTCGTACATCTTTGTTTTTGTGGGGCTCTTATTGCTCAATCATTAGTTTTCTATGTATTGCAGACATTCTGTTGTTGTTTTTTTTTTTTTTTTTTTGCGAAGGCGTTGTCATTATTATGTTGTTTTAAAATCATTGCGGTTTTTTATGTTGCGGTTGTCAATTGATTCGCTTTGCACCACGGCTGTTTTTTTTTTGTTCTCCTTTGTAAGGAACAAGTTCAAAATATGCATAGAGCTATTAGTTGATCCATTTAGCATCCATCAATTATTTCACCTCCTTTATCACATTATTACGACGATATTATGTGGTCCCTTTAGTATCTTATTTAATTTGTGACGAAGCCTTAAAGAACAACAAAATCTAAGTAACTGTTAAATGAGGTCTTAAATGGCCGTTTTACATATAAATTTAAACACAAAACGTGTCTTCGTGAAATATCAACCCATTGGTTATGTCATGTGACCATCGAGTTCAGGCAGTTTTAGAAGACATTTAAAAAGAAAAAAAGAAAATACTGTAAGTGAATGTATGTTGATTTCATTTGATTGGTTTACTTCCCTTGTTAAAAAGGCTAAACAGATGCCTGATAAAATTATCGAGATTTGACTCATTCAAAGTAAATGTTTAAACATACACTATCTAATTTTAACAAGACAAACCGCAAAAATCGCAAACCTTATTTATGTGTTCGGTACAATTAGAGTTTGGTCTTATACAAAAAAGAAAACAGAAATTATAAATGATATTCGTTTAAATACAAAAGAAAAATAATTTCATTTTTATTTTACCTTTCTTCATTCTGATTGCAGTTGCAAAGGTTAACACATCTTTCTCCAAATCTGTTGTTTGGACAATGGGTACACGAGTTTCCTCCTATTGACATAAAACCAATTTTGCACTCTGAAAAGCACATGAACAAATATTGGTAAATGAAATTCTATGTTTTGCCCCGGTTGTAAAGAAATGTTAAACATAACGGAAGGTATGTTGTAACGTTATATATAAATAAGAAGATGTGGTATGAGTGCCAATGAGACAACTCTCCATAAAATTCACAATGTATAAAAAGTAAATAATTATAGGTCAAAGTACGGCTTTCAACACGGAGCCTTGGCTCACACCGAACAGCAAGCTATAAAGGGCTTCAAAATAACTAGTGTAAAACAATTCAAACAGGCATAGAATGTTTGAGAGTCAACATTGTAAGTTTTGTGTGAGTGTGCTCAAATGTAGAATAATGTGTTTTAGTTGAGAGGACCACTGCCTATTCAAGCGGGTTTATTAAGTTTTGCCGACTGCCTTATCAATGAACAAAAAAAATAAAAAAACGCCATTGTCTAATTCTTGGTGGCAAAGGTCAATATTATGCGAAAAGCTAGTTATTGAAAATGTATATATTGAGAGATTCTTGAATTAGAAATTTAGAAACGAGTTTTAAAACACAGATGTCTTAAATAATTATGTTACAGATCATTCTAAGATACTGCAAAGAAAAGTACTGCCGCGTGTAATTGAACCTTTTCTATGTTTATTATTACCTATGATCTTAAACAATAACTGTCCTCTATGACAAACGAGACGATTTTAATTTTGAAATTATCAATTTCCCCCCACATTAGAAGCAATATACCAACTTCACCAGCATATGGGATATACATTTCCCAACCTATTCGGTATTCAAGAGCTTGCAGCTACTATTCAGACTTTATTAAACCTCACCAGTGTCTGAGCAGAAAGTTGATGAACTAGGGTTTTGTCAAAGAACGTTTGTCCTTTTTTCTAAAATGGTTCATCGGAAGATGCTAAGACCTTGTTGATAAATATTCCGCATCAACTTCACAAATAATACATAATGGTCTTGATGTTAGATTGTAGGTACTGACGTTGTTCATCATCTTACTTACGTCTTATATTGTTCTTTTATTTGTCTTTGTAAATTATTAACCTTAACTGTTAGGTCCATTTTTGGTAATATCCTTTTGGTGGGGCTCGGTACTTATACATCTCGTAATTGTGTTATTGTATTTTTTGTATTCTTGTATTTCATTTTTGCGTATGTGCTTTGTCTATATGCCATTTTGTTTTTCTTTGTTGACATATTTGTTTTTTTTTATATACTGATTAAGATTATAACACAATGTTGACTGCTGTCCCCCTATTTTTGACATGTTTACCTATTGTGTCTGTTTGTTTGTTCACATATTGTTGTCAATATAAATTTCCGTGTTGAATTTTCTTTGGAGTTCGGTAATTTTGTTGTTTTACTTTTTGTTGATTTCATTATTTCTCTTTAGATAAAAACGAATCTTATCTAAAACAAATAATAAGTACCAAATTAATCATATTTAGAAGATGTCCTTAATTAGGTCTTCCCACTTTTCAGTGGAAATACCTATTGGACTTCTGATTATTATTTTTTTTTCTTCCGTCACTTTAAATTCTTGCCGGAAGTTTTTGTTTCGCAAGATGTAGCTTAGATCTTTGATATACGGTATCGAACAGTTTATACGCTTTTGAAACTGACACCGTTTCACCGAACACTTTTTCTTGTAATAGTTATCACCCCGAACACTGTTTTACATTTTATCTCTACTCCTTCGTAACCGTAAAGGAAACCCTCAAATTTTTTTTTTCCAAATTACTCGTTATATCATCAGGATGTCGAAAAACAAATTGACAGAAGCTATCATGAGACTCCATATGAGAGTTACTTTCTCTTGTGTATTTTATATAAGTAGAATGTATTTGTAACTGGTAAATCATTCGTAAAAGAGACCTAGGGTCTTTTGACTTGAGGTCCAGGGTCCACCAAAATGAAAATGAAGTCAAGGTCAAAGATCAAGGTCATGTTTTTAATTTTGATTATGGCTTAGTATATCATCTTATCAACAATCGTATAAAATATCGACAAAATATTTTACTGAATTGTTAGTTACGACATGTCACAATACATATACATAAAGGGTGCGTTGACTTTTAATATGAGTTTTCTCCCTTGTTATATCTAAAATTACCTGTGATATAACTCATAAACCATATACAGTAGAGACCTAGGGTCTTTTGATTTTAGGTCCTTGCTTTATGACCTTATGGTCAAGGTCAAAGGTGAATTTGACGTTCTATATTTTGACATTTGCTAATAATTCATATTTATACGTGATAAGGCTATTCTATCTTTTGAATCAGGTCGGTAGATATATGACCTTGAAATGGTCGACCGGAAGGGATTTTTTGAAAATCTGGAAGTAGCAATTTCCTGCACTGATCTCAATTAAAATCACCAAGAACCATATTGGAATTATCGTGGAGTAACCGATCAGATGGTACCGAAAGTGATTTTTTTTAAATCGGAATTTGCAATTTATCTCCCTTATTTAAAGATAAGTATATATAAACTATATAATATTGGAATCAGTGTGACGTAAGCGAGCATATGAGATCGGAAATGACATTTTATAAACCGGAAGTAGCAGATTATCTCCCTTATTTCATAAAAAGTATATACAAACCATATAGTTTTGAATCATCATGAAAAAACCTATGATTTGATACCAATAGAAACTTTGAGTAAACTGCAGGTAGCTTCATGTCAATTATTTAGACATTTCATGTGGAAAGACCTTCAATTGTTCTCTTAACAATTGGTTTTCAATTACATTAGAACTGTTTTTCAGTTATTGTTGTTATTTATTAAATATAAGTATATACCATCACATGATATTTTATAAATTGTTGAAAACAAGAAAATCCTAAACGAATGTGAACAGAATGAAAATTTTCCATTAAAGCTTCAAAAACGTTTTCATACCTGTACATGTACCATTTATGTCTTCATAGCCAGAACAACAATACTCTATATTCCTGAAATAATAAAAAAAACAGATACACAAAAAAGCTGTCTGAGTGATTAAAAAAAAATAACAACAAAATTTTGAATGCTATATTGAATAAAATAAGTTTGTTAAACATATTATAGTATCTTTGAACTATTATATTGTTAAAACCATACCTTTGTGTGTCTTCACATACTTTAAGACCTTTTAAACTTGTGCCTTTATCACTAAAACTAAGTATTAGAATTATGTAAATGACTAACATTGTGTCAAAGTCGGTAATGGTATCTAATAAAAATTCTATCAAAATATCAGAAAGCCGGAAAAATTGTTTTTTTAATTCCTAAAAAATATATATAAATGTAACCAATGAAATAAATACAGATCGGATGTGTCCTAGTTAAATGGAACAAAATTCCTTAATAATCATCAAGTACGCGTTCATTGAAGTTAATTTGAAAAAAAATACAATTGGATAACGATAAGGGGGCAATTTTATAGTATTTCAACAGCGCATTTTAAATCATTTGAGGTAATCTTTGATGTGTTTGAAAACGTACTTATGTTATGTGTATTTAATTTATATTTCCGTTTAAAATCTATAAACCTTAAACTATGTATACATTTGAATTATGTCCTAGGTAAACCGTACTGGGTTTTGACAAGTTGTTGTGTATTCCTGAATTGACCTACATGGTTAAATACCGAGATGATAGTATCAATTAAAGAAATAGAATCGTATTTCGTAAAATATAATAAATCATGAATGGCAAAGTGAAAAAAAAATAATGCGTGTTGGTATACAGAGGCGTTAATCCGTATATTTGTTATTACTGTGGATTCATTTATTTTCGTGGGTACCAATTTTCGTGGATTATGAAAACCTTACATGTTCGTAGATATTTAATTTCGTGGTTAAGTCAAAGTTTGCATATAAGCCTATAGAAAACTTATCATGTGTTGAACATTTAATTTCGTGGTTAACCTGTACCCACAAAATGCACGAAAATTGGTATCCAACGAATAATAATGAATCCACAGTATTTAAAATTTTAACAATATAAATTATGACTTTAGTCTAAAAGATTAAAATAAATGAATAAAAGTAGATATGAGGTATACCTCAATTACACATCCACAAACACACAATTGATTTATCAAATGATGTCAGAAATGTTTTCAACTAAAGGCAGGTATCGTTTTGCTATACCAAGCCATAATTATTAATTATTCTGAGTCTAGAAAAATTGTGATTGAACGAGACAATCAAAGATTCATTAGCCGGTTCCCGAACTTATGATTTCGTTTGTAGTTATCGTAAAATGATATGGACGTATTGTACAACTTTTTATAATCATTTCCTTTTAACTACTTATATGTACCTCTCATTACTTAAGTTATCGAAATTACAATGGGGTTGAAACTATCTCTGCTAAGTCGAGAGAGTCGTAAGAAGTCGTTTCATTTACTAAAATTGTGTTGTTGTTTTGTTTATGTCAACTACAGTACTTGTATTCTTAACCTATTACGTTATTAAAAAGTAAAATAACAAAAAATACCGAACTCCAAGTAAAATTCAAAACGAAAAGTCCTTTATCAAATGGCAAATTGAAAAGCTCAAACACATCAAACGAATGAAAACAATTGTTATATCTTCTTGAGTTGGTACAGGCATTTGCTTTTGTAGAAAATGGTGGATTCTTTTTAAGACAGTTTGCAAAAAGGTGTAAAATAAAAGATTGTGTGCAAGTTATTTTAATCATAATATGTCGTCCGATTCCTGTTGTCAATAATACCGTTAATACTCTATGTTTGGTTCATTTATATTGTTTTACAAAAACTGTATTTGTTACAATGGTTTTTCTCTTCTAAGTCGATTTTTCGATTTCCGAGATTTTAACATCGGTAAACGACGTTCATCTTGATTTTAGCTACAATACAATATTCTTAATACGCGTGGATTGACAACAAATTCAGACAGAAATCTTAATCATGTATTGTGACACATTGTTTCCCGCCATATGAACTAAATATGTGCGTGTGCAAATCATTCCATTTTAAATGACTAATAATAGTCTAGTGAAATTTAATAATATAGCACTTTCCTCTACTGAGAAACCCAGTGGAGTATTTGAAATTAAGAACGTAATTAATTATGAAGTTTTCTTTGTCTGTTACCAGTAATTATCGAATCCAAAAACATAGTACATGTATTTATCATCGAGGTCAAAAGCTGATATGTGACAAAGGTGAATTACTTAGATATCTATTTCTTGTAGTAAAAACAATGAACATTGCACCTAATAAACACATTTTATTCCATTATGTTAACCAATATGTCATGTTTATATTTGGTTGTCTGTGTGCAGACTTTCAGAATAAAGAGTTTCCATACGTCGCTGATAACGATACACTGAAGATGTATGACATTTTTTTAAAGTACAAGAACACATCTGCGACATCGCGGGTCCGTGACTGAACTTAAGTACCTATGCCTTATTTTTAGCCTGGATTTTTAGTAATGATAACATCCTTATTGTAACGTGCACAGTTTTCTCTACTTTCAAAATCTTTCTGTTTGAACCCGTCCTGATTTTCTTACTACAATAAACTTACTATAAATAAATTTAATTTTTTTAACTAACTAACCAAAATTAAAAGTGGTATTGATTTTAAAGAAAACAGACTTGTTACATAGTGTAATATGATGTAACATAGACATGAAAAAAATACACTAGCAGAATTCTAGGTTCTCCTGATAGAGGAGGAATTAAAAGAAAGTAACAGGTAACTGGACACTACATGTAACATATATCATTGGTACCAGTATCGGATTCGACCCGGAACTTGTTAATTATTGGTAATATTAATTATGTGGAAAACAAAAGGGCCTGAAATAGTGTAATTTTTAAACAACACCATTATCCTATTTTAGTTCTATGTAAAGTTGAATTCTTTGATTCGTCGTTGTTACGTCATGCTGGCTAACAAATTGGACCTCGTTATTTTAGTAGTATAGATGTCAATATTTTAAAATCTATTGTAACTTTATTTAGGTATGCCTTTTGATTTTCCTAAGGTATCGTTAATATAAGAAAGACGACGATGAATTTTAATAATGTGATAATGTTTTATTTCCATTACATTTAATTTAACCGACAATATTCCATGTATCAGATAAAGAAAAACTGGCATTAACTGCGGCATTTTTTGTTTGTACGACACATTAAGTTTATTTCACATGTATCTGTTTTTTTTTTATATATTTCAACTTTGAAAAACAGGGAATGATTTTTTGTTTCTATCATTTTTTTCCAGCGGGACATCAACAGTCTGCAAAAAAAAACATTAAACAATTTCAAATCTTTTTATGGTAATGAAATATCATTTTGAAGTCAATTAGATTGATAACAAAACAATGAAATATAAATGACAGAATGCTTCAGTTTGGTTAGAAAGAAACTTTTTCATCACTGTGTCTTTAGTATTTTTTTATTAGTTTTTGTACGTTGTATGGATCTGATTAGTTAAGCCTTTGCATCTGATTTTGTTTATAGTTTTGTAGTATATTGAGATGTTGCACCATGGTTTCAGGTTTTGTGGAGAGTTACGCGCCAGCAAACATAATTAACTCCATCACATTATGAATGTTTTTGTCCAATGTCAGGAATCTCCAAATCAACAGTTGTCTTTCGTTGCTGTGTGTCATATTTGTTTTAGTTTATTGTTTTTTTTTTCTTTTTACATTCATCAAACCGTCATTTTAGTTTGAAGACTTTTACATTTGGCCTGTCGGGAACTTTTATTGCTTCTGTGCTGTATGTTTTGGCGCATTATTTTAATAATTGTTGGCAAATTGCTATAAATTTGCTCTATGTTAGAGAGTTGTCTCATTGGTATTTATATCATTAATCCTTGTCCTTTTTTATGTAATCAGCTTTTTTCAAGTTTTGAATACATTTTGATTGATACTTTTCTTTTGTCCTCAGGCATACTTTAAACAGATGTTTATTGGTGAAATGCGCATCTGGTGTACTAAAATTGGTACCGTTACTGCTATTCATATTTATATACTCCTTTATTTAGATCATGGTGTAAAAAGGGTTGAACGTCGCACTTTATATATTCATTCTATGTACTAATGATAACCAGTATACTATTCTTTTACTAACCTTCCTTGTTCGAACATTTAAAATACAGATGTACATGCCACACTTAAAATGTGTAACATTATTCAAAAATATATAAGGATTTAAACAAACTTTAACAATTGAAAAATAAAAAAATTGAGAAGCTTTTTTTAAAGCAAATAAAAAAGTTATCCAACTCATTGGAAAATATCTTTATAGGATTGTATATAAATAACATTGTTTACATTTCTTCTTTTCTCATTTTTTACAGTCTCTTCTAAATACAAGTATATGCATTACATAGATTTTTCATCGTGCTTCATTTTATTTGCCTTGGATTAACAATTCTATTTTTGACAGAATGATCAAACAAAAGTTGTATAGTGTCCGGATATTTAAGGTATTGCATAGTTTTGAACCATCTCTTCCATTTCGATAGATTCATCTCTACTGATTATAAATGATATTTGGAACTGACGGTATTGACATGATTTATAACAAACCTTTCTAAAATTGTCCGTTGATAAATTTTGAAATTATAAAGAAACACAGGTTTCAACTCCCTCAGGCAAAGTTGACCTTAGATGAATTTGGCTCTTTGTTTTATGTATTTTTGTCATATAGCTCTTCAACTGTTTCGGTACTTATACATTCCTCGGATTTCAAATGTTTGGCTTTGAGCGTTCCTGATGAAGGTAAATCCAGAAAAGCGCTTCGGACGCATGAAATTATTAAAAGTGTTGTTTTCAATTTTCGACATAATAAATTTGCCCTTAATATGTATGAATTGTTTTTTCCCTGGACGTTGAGCAACTAACAATCAACCAATTAATCGACATAATATTCCTAGAAGATACCGCCTCATACTTTTCGTCATAAGGTGCAAATATGGTCAGTGTTTGAAGATGCGGTTAAATAGTTTTGTTATACAAACCAGCCTGATATATGAAAACTACTGACTTTATTGACGATTCAATAATTTGAATACTTAGGTTAAATACTGGCACTATAAATTGATGCGGACAAACTTTTGTAGCCATTGTGTTCCAATATTGCTGTCATTTGTTTTATACAATCCATCCCGAGTTAACAAATATACTTATTAAGTATACTCGCCTGTATATTTATATAAATAAAGTTCAAA